TTTTTTTTTTTTTTTTATGATCACTTCTTCTTCCTGGTTCTCATGCACTGATACATAGCTATGAACATTATTTGCATTGCCAATTGCAAGGAAGGTTGTTTTTTTAAAAAAAAATAATCCAATTAAAATTTCAGTTTGTGGCCTTTACTAATTAATAGTGCTCCTGTAAATAAGAATATTACCATTTCCTTGTTTTACTTCTCACGTATCTTCTCTTAAAATCAACAGGTAGAAATTACATGGAAAAAGCGTATGAACAGGCATCAAAACAAGCCACATATTGCAGCGTTGTTAACCAGCTACTGAAAATTACAGCTTCATCTCCTGCTCACAGCCAGACCTATATATACTTGGGCATTTGCTATCATTACAAATGCAGTGGCTTTAGGCTTGTGCCAGGTAAGAGAGAGAAGAATCTGGCTCACAGTCTGCATTTCTAACTCTTCACAGAACAAGAGAGTCCAAACATATTTTAGTTCTTTAGTTTTCTATGAAGCGCAGCTATAAAGATCTTTATCACAATAAAAACAGAAGGCACTGCCACAGAGTGTAATTATATGCTACTATAGTTGACTGCTATCTCCCAGAAATAGGAAATGGTTTGAAAAATGCATGGTTTCTGCTTGGGCCACATTCTGAATTCCTTAAATAAAATGCCACCCCTAATCCCTGTGCAGATAAAATGGGAACTCTGGTATCGTAGCACTGAACAAATCTTGAGAGTGGGCTTCAAGATTTGGCTTGACGGTAGTCAGCTTTCGGCACCAGTAATTAGCAATGTGTCACATGTGTCACCACAGTGGAAAATCAGGTTTAGGCCCTGTTCTCTTCTCACACCGCCCAGAAGTTCATGTCCCAAGGATGGGGAAGGAGTTACGTTTGTTAGAATTATTTCTCACCCCTCCTTAGTCACTTAAGAACCCAAAATTTCAAGGAAGCATACCTTGCAGAGCCCTTCCTTTCTAATGGCAGACTACTATCGCAAAAAAACCCCAGATAACACTCTGCACCACACCAAGCAAGGACAACTTACTGTTACACAAACCCCTGACAAAGGGACAGGTTTACATATTCACAGCTGCATCCGTGCTCAGCAGCCAGCTGGGAAAAATGTACTGCTTAGTCTGAAGGCACGTAAACTGTCTGTCAGCCATCAGGACAAGCAGGTTTCAAATATCCACTCAGTCCCGCATTCCTGATTCCTTGAAGAGGTCTGAATTAGGATTGTAGTGCATATCCTAGGATCCCTCACAAAGTCAAATATTTTGGTAAATGAATCACTATCAAACAGAGACTTGTTTTGAAAATTAACTGTTTTCTCTTACTTCTCTATAACTAAAAGAAAAAGGCAGGCTCCTGCTTCTTCTGAAAGAGTATTCGCAAAAAAAAAAAGGTGCCTACTGGAGTGTAATTATTGTGCTAAGTAATTATCAATATATTAGAAAAGGTACAAAAGACTCAAAAAAGCTCCATACAGATGAGTAAATATGATCTGGAAGAGGTGCCTATGAATCACACACCATTTCTCTATTACCATAAAATAATGATGGTTCATACATTTTACCACGAAACTTTCTGCTGAAGATGTCACAGATCTTTATAAACATTAATTTTACCTCACAATCTCCCAAGATGGGAAGCACCATCTCCTTATGGAAAAGCTCAGGAGCAGAAATGAGTCATTCACCTCATGCAACACAAGGAGGCTGCAGCAGAGCTGGGAACAGAACACAGACCCTTGCCTCCCATTTTGTACACTAACCACAAGATCACCAAATTTCACCCACTTATTTTATCTCCTCACAAAAACATTTTTGATCATTATTTCTGTTTCTTTTCTCAGTGAGTATATCTTCTTTGAGAGTGAGCTGCAGTAAAACTGACAGCCCCAAATGCCTTTAGAAAAGGTAGACAGGAGCGATGCAGCACAATGGGGCCAAAACGTATGGATGGGTCTTCCACATACTTAGTTCAGTGTCTTGCCCATTACACCTTATCCACTGTGAACTGTGATTTAAGCTAAGTGAACATGTTTCTTCCCTAAACCCCAGAATTCCACAGTCTTCAAGCAACCGTTTTGCAGTAGAGAACTGTGCACACTTGCCACGTCACACTAACAACACATAAACGAAACTGTGACTCAATTTTAAAGGGAAATATTATTTGCTGCTTTAAAAATAATTTGGATTATTAAAGGCCTGTTCTTTCAAAAGCAAGACAACATAACTAAGCCCGCCCTTCCACAACTTGCGTTATTCAAGTCATTTCCAGTGATCTTTTACTTTAGTAAGAGTTCTCTCCCTCTGCTCTATGCTTTTCCTGCTCCATCACTTTTCAGTACTTGCCTTTCTCTCCTCACCCTGCTCTCTTGCCATTTCTAGTCTCTTCCCCTCCTTTCTTTACAGTCATTTCCATTTTCTTTGAAATGTTTTGGCATTTAATGCTGGCTTTATTCTTCCTTCTCCATCTGCTGCTCTTGTCTTTCTAAATCTCTTCTGGAGCCTTCTCTTGGGAGAAAGCAAGAGCCACGTTTTCCATTTATTGCCTCTTCTTTTTGGATTTCAGTTCCCTTCTTCTTCTTTATGGACTTGGAATCAGACACTTCTCCTCTCCCTGGAAGCTGATATACTGGCTACAATGCCTTCCTACTAGCCCCACAGCAGCTGGTACCATGCTGTACTGTATCTGCCACTCCTTTTGAACAAAAGCGTCTCAGGGAAGGCACTGTTAAGTATTTGGCAGTTCTCCTAAATACTACAAGAGCAATACTACAGAAAGCAAAATTACTGGTAGGTTTTACTCCCTTGCCTTGTGCTCAACATTCATGGAATCTTCTGGCCATGGAGACTTGCTCCACCAGCTACAATCCAATTTTAAAGGGAGTTTCCCCCTCCCTAAGGGTTTTCTTCTCTGTAAAATCTTCTATTTCATTATCAGGACTTACAGGGAACAAAGGAGAAGTAACCAAGCTTAACTACTAACACTGCCTTTACACAAATCTCCCCTATATTGTCTTTCCAACATATTTTAATTTGAGGCTCAAAGGCTCAACTCTAAGACACGTCTTCCTAGCCTGTTCACTTGGTCTCTCTTCCCAGACAAGGGAAATAGCTGTAACATGTAAGATGACAAGGACATTTGCCAATTAGAAGTGCAACACCAAACTCCTTTTGGGAAACATTCAGTCATATCTGAATGCGGACCTTTTATCTAAAACATAAGACGTAATACAAACTGATCACAGATTAAGCAACGTAAATATGAAGAGAATGGTGAAAGGATTTCTTCTGTTACAAACTTTTGTTTATTTCCAAACTTCAATCTAAAGCCTGACTTTCTGTGAACGTCTTCCTCACATTTGTTATTAGCCAACGTGTTTAATTGTTTGTTATTGTACCTTAGCACTGGGAATGACACATTCTAAAAGTTTTTGCTTTCAGAAAGGCTAAAGGAAAATAAATATCAGAAAGTTAAAAAAAACCCTTGCAGCCAGCAAGATGGATTTTGCAGAGAGGGATAAAATTTAAGTCACAAAACCCACAAATCTTTTACAGTTACACTTATGTTGCCAACGCACAGAAATAAAATATAAGAAATGAACCATTTATCAAGGATTCCAAAATAAAGTGAACAAGAACATTAGCGAATGTCAAAAAAGCCTCAAAACACTAAGATCCTCGCTTCTACCACAAGCTCAAAAGATAGAGTACAAGAATTAGTTGTTTCTCAGTTTTGTTTCACACACCAGTTTTGCTCTGGTCACAGAGATTTTGCTTTATTCAACGCTTAGAGTATACTTGACTGATGAATGAACAGCAACTATCAAAGCAGTGGAGTGGAGAATCCAACACCTGTTCCTTTCAAGGTTTTCCACTGTTGTTTTTAAACAAATGTTTTAAACACAAAGCATATTCCCACGGATTTATTACAAGCTAAAAGGGAAATACACATTTAACAAGATACAACTTATCTGAAACGTGCTCAGCTAAAACTCAAAAAGAAACCAAGCAGCAACATGATATGCTCATTCCGCCCCACTCTCCCCTGGTAGTTTGATGTTTATAGTCTCCTACTTCCCATTTGAAAACAGCAAATTCTCATGGCTACGATTATATGCAAAGCCATGACAAGTGCACCAGCACAAAAAGTGGGAACAGGGAAAATAATTCACTCAGTTAATTATTAGAAAGTTACTTACAATGATAACAACAACAGATTTTCAGATAGAAGCCTATTTAAGCTGACCGACCCTTTCAGCATTTCTAAAGAAATTATGTATTATAAAACTAATTCAGTGAAAAATGAAAGTAAAAATAGGAGCGATGAGACATCTTCTAAATAAGCAAAGCTGCTTTTACAGCATGCTGAATAACTGGAGTGTGGTAAACATACCATTGTTATAAACAACATCCAGCCTTTTGACATTATTCTTTAGCTAATTATTTCAAACTCTTTATAAGCATTAATGAAGCAAGCCTCATGGTTCTCCTGCAAAGTGAAGAGAATTACTCCCATGTACAGGAGGAAAAATGAAGATACAGGGACAGAAAACAACCCTCCAAAGCTACAGTGGCACACTTGTACAGAGAATTCAACATGTCTCAAAGTGTAAGAGAAAAAACATACTCTCATCCAGATACAAGTGCTTACTTAATGACCAGTTTGTACGATTTGCACATTATTTAATCTTACACAAAATGCTGCATCAACATTTTTAGATTTAACCATGATTAGTAAATGATCAAGACATACCAAAGTTTTATACTGGTAAGTAAGGCCCAAACAAATTGTTTTTAAATAGAAACTCTAACGATTTCTCCCTACTGAGACATTTTTATGTTCTGCTTCAAAACCTAATCATAAAACCACTAAAAATTACACTTCATGTTAAAAATGCTAGCAGCTGCCGAAGTATCATATACAGCACTTTGTCAGATTATAGATAAATAAACACCAAGATGCAGCACAACAATGATTAGTAAGTAATTGTGTCTCATTACCTTTGCGGTCTTCTTGGGCCAGCTGACCACAGGGACACCCGAAATGGCAAGATTTTGGTCATCATCAGCATGTTCCTTCAGTATGTTCTGTTGCAAATGAAAAAGCCTTCATTAACTGGAGAAATATTTCTCCAACTGAAGAGTGCAGACTTACAGAAGACAATATTCCACTCTGATGAAAGATAAAGTGACAAGATCTCTGCTGACTTGTTACATCTCTGCAAGTTACTTTTGCTTCCAAACTTCCAGTTCACACTGAAACTCTTGCACCTGTTGTTAAGATCAAAGATGTGAAGCTTCTTGCAAAACAGACAGCAAAATCAGCCATGAATCACCTCAAATATTACAGACTTCTCTAAAATTGGTGTGTCCAGAAGACTGGTGTTTTTCAACCAGTATCACCTCTCCCTTTAAACTCCAGCTCACTAAATCCCAAACAACCCCACCAGTCACCACAACCAACACCTTCTCTCCTAATCAAGTCTACAAAAGATGAGAGAAGTATCTAGGCTCTGCCACCATTATTTCTGCACTCACAGGGCATCAAGTGTGTAGTTTAGAGCAATCCTCAGATGCCTGAACATTCAGGTAAGTCAAGATCTAGAAGTGTGCCCTATAACCTTTCATCTTCTTGCACGTGGCCATTCAAGAGCACCGTCATTTCCACTGGCCTTCTTTCCACATCGATGGGCAGGCCAGAGCTGTTGTAATGTAGTTCACTTTATGTGACCAGGTAAGGCATTCAGGTTCCTGAGTACTCATTCCTAGGAAACTATCTGACTCTGGACAGTACAGTATTAAGGAAAAAAGATTGGTCTCACCTCCTTTCCACCCCCACCAAATCCTTTTGCTTCGATGCACTGTCCTAGAAATTTCCTGTGTGGGCTGCACCAGCTTACATAGCTTCCACTGCTGTGAATCACTCCCATGACCGTATAACTCAACACAGAGGTGGGGAAGAACTCTTTCTAAGTGTCCTCAGTTGTGCAGCTGGCAACAGTCCACACTTGCTTCCCATGACTCCCTACATACTTACTAACCTAGCTACAAAGCTCTTTATTCGGAGTTGAGGTAGCTGAAAAAGACAACAAATGACAACAAATGAAAACAAAAAAAAAAGTCAGAAAGACGATTCTGCGGTGCTGCTGAAACCTGAAGCCCAAATAAGCACTAACAGGTTACAGGGGAAAAAAATGCTCCAATAAAACAAGCAAGAACTGCAGGTTGGAAATTACCTCGTAACGGAATTTAGGAGATAAGCCCAGACAGTGAAGTTCAACGGTGTTGCTCCCAAGTATACTGACTTTTTGAAAAAAGCTTAATTAGATAACAACAGGCACCAGGCTCTGTCAGTCCCCAGTGCAGAGCTTTAATAATCAGAAATTTCACACGCTATACAAAAAGGGCTTAAAATACAGTAATTGTTTTAATAGGAAGTGCACTTGGAATTCATCTGTCATCATCCTGCTAAAGCCCGGAGTACGATGGCATGTTCCAGACTCCAAGAGCCTGAGCAGGCAGATTAGCACTGAAACAAGGGTTTGGATGAGAGTCCCTGGGGCTGGCTTTTTCTCCCTGGAGCTCAGGCAACCTGCCGGATTCAGCCCAATTCCCCAGTCTGTGCTTAAATGAGAGACGCTTTACTAATAGACACTATAGCACCAGCGCAGTGCTGCTTCTTCAGATACAATCATACCAGTAAGGCTGTTCTCCATACTGGTTAGTCCAAAAGCAGCACCAATGACCAAAATAAGCAATACCAGTACAAGTCCAGTTTTGTCAGCCCGGCGTTGTGGCTGTGCTCAGGAGCCTGCATAGGCACAGCCTGGCTGGTGAGGAGGAAAATGCAGCTTGCCCCAACCTGACTGTGATGGAGAGTCTGTAGCGTATCTCCAGCTGTACACTCTTCGAGTGAAACAGCTAACAACTTCTACATACGGACTAGTCATTGGCAAACTAACTCTTGGCTGAGCTGAGGTTAAGTAAGCACCTCCTTTCTGATGTCCTTTTTATTTTGAGAGCGACTCCTGCACTAACTGAACTGTGACCACATTCTGAAAGTTAGTTTTCAATCCTAAAAATTGAGAGGTCTTTTGTATTCTCATAGCAAAGCCAAAGTTCTCCAGAATGAGGCGTCAGCTTGAGAGCTATATAAACAAAGGACAAATTAATCCCTCTTTACTTTGCTAGTCTTAGATTTGAAAGCTTGTAAGACAGAAAACCTTAACATTTCCACCAACAACTGTCAGAGACTCCGAGTTCAATAGAAAGCAGAGTATATTCCAAGAACTTGGCAAGATAATGAAGGTTTCTTGTTATCATATGTATCACGTGAAAACATTATCCAAGAAGAAATGTAAAACTATGGCAGCTTATCATCTCAGCCAGCTGAAAACAATGGATGTCTGAGCAGCAGAACCATAACCAAGCCACAGCTGTACTGACTGCAGTGTGGAGTGTCAGCAACGGGCTGGAGGAAGCAGATTTTGTTCACCTGCTTTAAAAAAAAAAAGAAAAAAAGAAGATAAAAGAAAAGCCATGGGGCTCCAGTTAGACAAACAACGTGATGCTCAGCCAGCACAAGGCTGCCCGATTCATTACACTTGAAAGCTGTGGTGACAACAGCAGGTATGAAGGAAAGAAACTGATTAAGTATGTAAGAATTCAGCTTAGCCATTAATTTCAAAAGCACAGCAAGGAATGACTCCCCTGAAATGCATTCAGCAGAGGGAGTTTTTTCCTGTCATCAGAACGAGAAGGGGGTAAGATTTCTTGGCAAGAAAAAGTAAGAACATATTTCAGTAGATATCATCTGTCTTGCACAAGAATCTTCTCCTGCTGCCAAGGAGTTGCGGATATTTGACAAACTCTGTTCTTCAAACCGAGTTTCTTCTGCCCTAACAGAGTTCCACAGTCCCTTTTGAAGAAAGGCAGCATTTTTGCTTTGAAGCGGGGAAGGTCTGTGGCATTATTAGGAGGCAGATCTCACAATCTTCTTCCCCAAGAGCAGCAAAGGAATTACCATCCTGCTGGTAACACAACAGAAATGTCACGTGCTGAAATCAGAAGCTGCACACAGGCAAGCATCGCTGGCAGAGTGTTTAGTGTGAGGTGCAGACTGCCACAAAGGTCTGCTCAGCTTTACCTGTCCTGGGATGTGGGGTGTAAACTGCACCAAGGAGTAAGATGGTTACCTCTCTATTCTTTTCTTCATTAATAAGTCCATCCCAATTGTATCTTTAGCAGACTGACATACTGATGGTAGCTAAATATGAAGTAGAGAAGCTGCATGATGAAAGTCTTCCAATCTCCAAGGCCACCATCCAAGTAAAATTACTTCTCAGTGTTTTTTTTCCTCTTTCTTTTCTTCATCAGTATAGGTACTTTTCTAACAGTTCAGCTGCTACTTAATTTTTAAATTGGGAGCCGGAGTTGTTGCACTGTTTTGTATTTCATTTCAGGACATGTATATACGGAAAACAACGTACAACTGCAGGCTGCGTGCGCCTCCAACAGTAACACCAACAGCAAGGATGTGAGGGCAACGGCTGCAGTGTCTTCTGGCTGCTCACCCTGCCAACAACTACACTGCCAAGCCTTCTGTTCTTCTGCAACTTGGGTCAGCTGAGCACTCTCAGGGAGGGTATGTTTATCTGTACAACAATTTCCCCTCACATTCGCTGCACATACAGCTCACACAAAGCCCATCCGCAGACATTTGGATACAGAGAGTATTGCATCTCCTCGGCCGATTGTTCAGATGCCATCTGCTACAGAGTGAATGCTGCTGTCAGTAACCGCTGTTTGGAGGTCTCTGAGAAGCTCCTTTGGTGTTGAACACAGGTCTCACGCAATACAGTGCCCATACAGCAGAGCTGCAGCCAACAAGAATTTAATTCCTTGTTTGAGCTGAGGGAAGAAGTGACCCACTCCCCAAGTGAGGCCCGTGTTATGCTCTGCAAATAAGCCTCCCTCGTGCTACTGGACCCCATCGATCATGGTGATAAATGGGTTCTCAATCTGCAGAGGCATTAGCTTGGCACTTCTGGATTGCTGTGTCCCCACCAGATAGTCACAGTTACTTAGGAGCTTCGTTGACGTGTAAGGAATTTACACAGGCTTAGTTTAGTTTTCAGTCTCCCTTCTCATAACGAAAATAAATTACATTACTTCAAAGAGTCTCACCTACTTGACATTAAATAGCTGTATATAGCTGCAGTTCTATTTACCAACAAGAGCAGTAATCCAGTTGCCCATCCTTTACTGTATTCTTGCTCAGATGGGAAAGGATGGATTCTTTACGAGTTACCCTGATTTGTTCTGTGAAACTTCCCATCGCTGAATAAAATGGTTTCCTTTCTCCAGTTTAACTACCCATATCCTGTTTTCTAAAAACATGAATTATCTTACTGAAGCACAAAACCAGACTTGAATGTCATACAGAAAAGTTCCTAAGTGTATTTCATTAAGAAATAAAACTGCTACAATAAACACACATATATTTTCTTCAGGAAGAAACTTGTTTAAGACTTTCCAAGCAAACCAAGAGCTTTCAGACTTTCTGTCAGAGCATGTTCTTGCTATGCATTTGTTAAAAATAACTCACAAATGGGTGCACTAAAAGGGAATTTTTTTATAGGATGTATTACTAATACATCACACCCCCCAAAGTCAGGTTGCCCATGAAATAAGCCTTGTGAATGCAGTCGAATACAGTCACAGCACATATGACCTGCACAGCTGCTTCTGCAGGATTTCTGCCTCCATGCAGTCACACAGATGACTGGTGCTCTGGATATTCATCAGGGTGAGGTAAAGGTGCCAGGCTTCTGCTCACTTTACTGCTAATGCTATCAGCAAAATCCCCACATTATTTTCTGTACAAGCTGGAAAACTAGTAGCAAAGTAAGAGGCAATATGATTTAGTGGTCAAGGAGATTTAATACCATTCTGGAAAAATGGACTGTATTTCTTCCTCTGCCATTATGTCTCTATTTGGCACAGGGCAAATCTTTTAAATCAAGTTTCCACAGGCTGTCATGAATTGTATGTTCCTACTCTTCCTCACACCTGGCTTGGGATTTGGACGCTAAAGATCAGAACTGCTCTGCAGAAATGTTAAGCAATTGCAGTTTTAATACCATTGAAATTGTCTTTTGCATCTATCGTTCTCAAATAATGCTAACTTTTCTGAAAATCGCATCCACAGCATGTAAAACCAGTATACAAAGTTATGGTCACTTTTGCCTTCATCTCTTTGCACCCTAGTTCCCTGGCTGTGAACCAGAGATAACAACAGCTCATCAGTTACCACTTGTGAAGCACATGGCTACGGTAGTGATGAGCATCACTGGGAACCCCAAGGGAACATTCGTATCACCATTGTCAGCTGAGGGTCTGAGCAGTACCTAACACACACTGAAGAGCAAGGATGGAACAAAATACCGAACAGCTGCATTTTGCACACCAAGTAATACAGGAATCCTACAAGGACCATTATGCTAGGTGTATGCTCAAGGGGCTGAAATCAGCCACGGCAACTCCTCCATCAGCATGCTCTATCCTTTGAAGGCAGAAGCCCTAAACATAACACTGACACACTTGGATTTGTTTTATTTTTTTTAAAGCAAATAAACTGAATAAAACAAACTTCATGCTTTGGTATTACATGAATTACAAGGAGATAGGATGCTTTGGCTCTACTGCACTGTTCTCTACCATTTCAACAAACACAGCAGCAGAAAGGAGTAACGGGTTGCTGCATCCAGGGTCCCAGAACTAGATGGGAATGCCAGCGGCTGCCTCAGACAATGTGCTGACGAGCAAAGGGAAGGTCTGTGCTGGGAGTCCTGGACTCCACTCCTGACTTGAGAGGAAGCGTACTTGAGCAACCACTGATCTGAGTACAACTCCCCCTAACTGCCTCAACTCCTTCAGAGCACCCAGCAAGCGGATTATGCAACCGTAGGGAGAGTTATGGAGGAAGCAGACTATATGAGCTTTAATTAATTTATCATGCTGTATTGAATCATATTCTCTGAAAATTGAGGGCTGCCTTATATGTGGGCCAATATTGTAAAAAAGATGAGTTAGAAAGTTCTTTAATAGTTCTTCAGACACTATTCAAGAAAATGTTTGAGCTAATATCCTTTTAAAAGGTCTTGCTCTGACTAATCAGTCACAGGCTCGCCGAACATACAGAGGTGATACCAGAGGAAACAATTCTGTAACATGCATGATGTTTAGATGTGGTCATGGCCTCTTTACCCAGCAGGGAACCATAAATGTCCAGATGTTGGGCTATATCCTGATGGTTACAGCATGTGCTGGCAAGGAGAGACAGTTTAGAAGCAGGCAGTTATCAAAGGAGATGGAACATCAAGACTGCAAGTCTGCAAGATGCACAAAATAAACTGGCAGATGCTCACTTAATACCAGTTAGAGCACACTGTCACTAAAAAGGGGCGTGGCTTGGGCTTTTTTCTTAAATGTCTGTTTGCAGTTCTCCATCTCTGTAGCTAGGGAATCCACTGCTCTGGAGAGGAATAAGAAAACATAAACTCCTACATGGTGCTTTAAACCAGATTCACATATGGTATCTTGCTGTGCTCCAGTAAGATGTCTCACCGTACACTGGAGTATGTCATCAAAAGACCATGTGTGATCATACTCTGAACATCTGCACCATTTATTATGTGTTGTACCCCTTCTTGGGATTTCAAGAATGGGCAGTTTATTTTTAAGTGAAAACTGGTCTGTGCATGAAGCTTGGAAAAGTAATGCTACCATTCTTTCTCCTTCACCACAAATTCAACTCCTGGTTTTGAAGCTTCATTTTGATTTCTGATCAGAAGACGACTGATCACAAAGCAAGCCAGTGAATCTACAGCCACAACCTTGGGCATGTGCTTTCACTTTTATATACAAAGTGGCTGATTTTGCAAGAAGAGACTTTCTGAGCTCTTGTCGTTTACCAAAATGAGTGCCATGTATCACACTTCCAGGCTCCAAGACTGCGGAATATGGTTCCACTGCACACTGCATATGTTCAGTCTTCTTTAACTGCCTTTGAAGCCTTTATCTAGGCAGCTGATACACTACTTGCACTAAAAACGTACAGGCTCCCCTTTTACTGTATAAACATGCATTTTTCCCCTCAGATTGTGGCTTACACAGCTCTTGTGTACAGAAAAACATATGTAGCTGAAGAACTATACTGTACACAGAAACAGTACAAAACTAGCGGTCCAAACACAAGACCACAAATCAATACCCATAGTTCCAAATCGGGCCAAATTACCATGGTACTGGACCTATGGAGGACAGGTTAACAATTTTAGCCTTAATGGACAAGTCCCAGCAAAATCACAACAGTATGCTGCTCTCAGCTTTGTTAAAAAAATAATTAATATGCTCATTTTATACAACGTGAAAACAAGACACAGAAAAGCTAACAAGTAATCCAAAGGGATGCCATGGATCAGAGGCAGGGTTGGGATTAGAAACAGCAAGGC